TTGTTTGGGGGAGTTATAGATAATATTGGGGGGTAGCACCCCCCTGCACCCCCCCTCCCCCACAAAATCCGTCTATGGTATATTTCATTTATGTTAAGTCATTTGACCGCAAATCAACAATCACATTAACGTTAGGCACCACTGTATAACAAAATAACTTATTCTATATATAAATGGGATCTTTTCAGATGCAATCATGCGGCATGCATGTACTTATTATCGCATATATTCATGGATAGGATCCGAAGCTAAAGTATAGTCTCTCTTCTTCTCAGGTGAACTACCAATATTGGAGCATATGGCGAAGGTAAAACAGAATGGTCAGAAGGAAAACAAGAAGTGCGACGAAAGTGTAAAAAATGACGAAGAACAGAAAAAAAATCAAGTAGGAAACAACCTAACCTCGATTCCAAACCAAATCTGCCTCGTACCTAGGCGTTTCCAGAGAATTATTCAGCCTCGTTTTGTGTAAAAAATGCGGCACCCATATATCCCAACTATATAGCCTATACATGCAGCAAATATTGTTCCTGTGTGACAACACTTTTGGAGTTGATTCAACTCCTTGAAATTTATAGCCTGCGTGGCAGGCCCTCAATAAAATTGAGGGCATGCCACGCAGGCTATATGAAATTTACAGTGTGGGTACAAGGCGGAAACCAAATCATAAACTTAAACTCAATCTATATGTCTATCCCAAACCAGCTAGAACCCAATAAGTCTCTACGACCCTGTCGTATAGTTGTCGCGAAGTTGTCACGAATTATCGCAGCGGAATTTTTCTTCTTGTTCCCATTTTGTCGTGACCACTTTTCTGACCGCAGTTACGACACGTTCACGGCAGTTACACCCTTATGACAACCAGACTTTACCTTCTCCCACACATTCCAGATCTGATTCTAAATTTAACGCAAAACGTGTAATCTAAACCTAATCCTAGTGTAAACCTAATACCAAACCTAATCTTAAACTTTGTCCTAAAGCTATACTGCGTAGTGCAAAACCTAATCAGTGCGCAAAGCCAAATCATAAACGTAATCCAAGCCCAAAGATTTTTAAACCAAATACTAAACCTATCCCAATAATATATTCCAAGTTTCATTCTCGGGTGAAATTTTAAACTTTATACTGTATTTTCTTCATTTTCAGTTATTTTCAAAACCAGTGTTAATTACAAGGCAAATGATACAGGTATAGTATCCGTCTCAAAGTTCCGCTTTTGTGAAAGTGTTTTAATTATTTTTTTCAATAAGATTTTTGATGTAGCTATCGCTTTTCAGAATAAAGTATTTGGTGCAGGTTACCCAAGTCTACCAACAATGACACAAGAAGAATATTTTGAAAAAGAATTACGTGAAGGGAAAATCGTTACGGAATTCAGGTGATATACTGTACCTTACTAAAACATGGGAAAAAATACTGTTTGTAGATTTGTATATGTTGGAGATTTTGTTTACCTGTTTTAGAATCTGTTCGTATGTTTTATAGGTGGTCTTGGAGAAAAACGTTTTTCATTGTTAGAAATTATTTTTTTTATATTTTACATTCTTAATAAAATCATTAAAATGCGTACAATTTTACTAACACAAAAAATACTTGCACAACCTAGAAATCCAGCTAATTCTAATCCTTTCGGTAAAACATGATTTTGCGGATTTTACTCCAAGTAAATAATGGAGTAAACAATAGAAAGTGAGGCAACCCACAATAGAATACAACGGAATGCAAAAGAATAAAGAAGACGAATGAATAAATTTACACGATTGGTTTAATTCATTCTATTGTAAGTTCCTTACTTCTAGGGTATTGTTCTCTTCAGGTTTGTCTAATATTTGCCTAAAGCTGTCATAATATTTATTTAAATTTGGTAATGGAAAACGGGATGCAACGAAGAAAATGTCACGCGCGGGGGATTAGATCTTGGGCCGTGGTGGGACAGGGATAAGAAAAGTCCGAGTGCATGTATGTGTTGGCTATATAGTCAGGCAGATAGAGGATCAAAATTATGGAAAATTTACGATATCGTGGGACAATTCTATTTTGCCTTCATATTGTGCCCTGAAGGCTAGTAAGTTCGTTTCTGTATGTTGGCCGCGTTAAAATTTCTTGTGGGCTCCTGCCGACACGTTTTTCTTCGAATTTCTGATACATTTCTAATACAAATGACTTGCATCAATGGAAAGCTAACAAAAAACTACATATAAGACAGTTAAATAGTTAGTTGGGATTTTCAAGCGGTTTTCGAGTTATTGCTGTTTCAAATGTGAAAAATAAGCTAAAATCTCGCAAAAATCCTGGGTACTAGTCTGAAAATACGCTTTCAACAGCCCATAACTCAAGAAGAACTTGAAAAACCCTGGTAACCGTTTAAATGTCTTATATGTAGTTTTTTGCAAGCTTTCGAATGATGTAAATCATTTGTGTTAGAAATGTATTTGAAATTTCACATTTTTTAACTGTAATAGAGTTTAATACAACATTCGAAGAAAAACGTGTCGGCAGGAGCCCACAAGAAATTGTAACGCGGCCAACATACAGAAACGTACTTACTAGCCTTCAGGACACAATATGAAGGCAAAATGGAATTGTCCCACGATATCGTAAGTTTTTTCCTTCTATCTGCCCGACTAATAATATTTCATCATTTTATAATTTTAGTGAAAATAAAACATCGAAAAGCAAGAGTGATGAAGAGGGAGAGAAAGAAGAAATGGATTGCGCTGAAGATGAAAAATATTTAGAGAAATTAACAAAAGAAAGAGAGTGGGATGACTGGAAAGATGGTTTGTATATTGAGACGTTTTTACGTTAGAATGTAACCAAAACAATTTTTCACGGTTTTACTGTAATTGCTGCAACTTGCAACAAAAGTAATTTCAGTGCATGTTATCATTTAAAATATTCGCACATATAGTCATATACTAGTTACAAAACAAAGGGGGACGTTTTCTTTATCTTTTAAGATCATCGTCGTGGATGGGGCAACAGAGAAAATATGGGATAAAAATGTATTTTAGGTGATGGACGTTTGTGGGTTTTTCATCAAAATCACCTCCTAAATCCTTACTCTGACCATGGATTGTAAAATAACATTTTACAATCCATGTTCTGATGTCACAGCATAGTGAACAACGTAAAATCAACCGTGGAAGAAATTGAATAACGCCATCAATGCGGCTGGCATAAGTGACAAAGTATTAATTGCAAGACGAGTACAGTGGCCATCTGAAATTCAGTCCATTGCAAGTCATCTTGACACTGTATCTGCCCTTTGATGGGAGTGGAATAGGTCAATAGACTTGCCGTGATGTGATGTAAAAGAATAACTGACTTGGAGTTCAGCCGGGATGTGGAATGTGGATATAAGAATCTCTTTTTTTAATAATATTATTAATAATAATAGCAATGTAATTATTAACTCGTATTATGAGTAGTATCGTTATTAATATAATATTAAAATTAATAATAATTTATAATAATATTGTTTTTTAATAAATGCTTAGCTCTTAGTCAATCTATGACATTGATGTGCCACAAACTTTCAAAACAATCTGTGTTAAATGTCATTCATGTCATCCCTTGTCTAGTCTCTCTGTTAAATCGTGTTGTTAATAATTATCACTTATATGTATTCTGTATAAATAGTTAAGGTTACCCGTAATGGAGTGTTCTGCTCTGTGGGTATATTAAACCTGTCATTTATTTGACAAAGATTGTAAAATAAAAATAAAATAGTCATATCAGTCTGGGCAAAACATTACATCAATATTACATGAAGTATTTCGTACAGTGTTCCATGAACATGGCACATGGCGGCTGACAGGGGCTATTCCATTTAATGTACACACCCCCCTGTGGACGAAGTCAATAAAATTTGAACCCCTAAGAAAAAAAGATCAAAGTGCCGACACAAACACCCCTCCAGAAATTAAGAAATTTTTGCCTTACCCCTCGGAAAAAACGCAAAGATTAAAGGATGCCGATGCACACAACCCCTCAGAAACGGCTTTTTCAACCCCCCTCGGAAATTTTCGTCCACAGGGGGGTGTGTATATTAAATGGAATGGCCCCAGTGGAGTGAGAAATGAATTTATTTCAATCAAATTGCAGTGAATTGCCTTGATTATCGATCATGTCTGCCTTTAATAAACCATTGTATTTATATAAAGAAATACTTTCCGTACTACGGGCAGTAACGCAGTCTAATAACGTGAGTATATAATCAAAATTTAATCAGAAACTTTGAACAGGGCCATTCCATTTAATATACACCCCCCCCCCTATGGACGAGAATTTCTGAGGGGGTTTGAAAAAGCCGTTTCTGAGCAATCTGAGGGGTTGTGTGCATCGGCATCCTTTGATCTTTGCGGTTTTTCTGAGGGGTAAGGCAAAAATTTCTTAATTTCTGGGGGGGTGTTTGTGTCGGCCCTTTGATTTTTTTTTCTTAGGGGTTCAAATTTTATTGACCTCGTACATAGGGGGGTGTGTACATTAAATGGAATGGCCCACACAGTATATTAATACAGTAATAGGCCATGGGAATGAAAGTCATAGATTTGCATCCACCGCCCGCATGCCTCAAAAGCTACCGCCTAAAATTTTCATTATTTACAAAAAATTCATTATTTTCGCAAATAAAGCAAAACTCAATAAAATTAGCAATAAAATTGTGTATTGATTATGTTTGTCCTCAGTATCCAAATTACTGTATATTCACCGAAATGGCGAAATTGGCACACTGCCGCACACAGGTCTTCAGTGCTGCAACCGTGTGAGCTCGTGATATATGTACTTCCACAGCGTAAATGGTAATTCATGTTTTGATCTCTGTATTTACCACCCAAAAAATGGTAAAAAAAATAACGAATAATGAAAAAAATCTGCATGTTTTTTCAAAATTACCCAGATGCAAATCTATGACTTTCATTCCCATGGCCTTATTATATAAAAGTATATAACTCTGACTGGGTCCTTAGAATTTAAAATTTCTGGCATTATTATAAATTATGATTATTATGGAATGTCAGGTTTTTAAACAGCTGATTGCCGGAGACATAGTCATTTAGAAATTTACCTAAATTATGCACTTCAGCCCCTGGGAAATGTGGGGTGATGGTTTGGGATTGACTGATCAAACTTGCGTGTGATAAATTATAAAGCAATGAGGTGGCCGATACTTGTGTATATATGTGGGAACGTATTGGTTTCTACATGAATTGGGTGACATTTAAAGGCGAATGGTGATGCAACAAAACTAGTACTTGGCAGAACCCACTGAACTATACTGTACCATGCTGGAAAGTTGGGGTGTTGCGCCCAATATATTCAGTGTACAACAAGGACTTTTTTACGACAGTTTGGCACACACCAAAGCAAGGGCAGATTTTCATTTATTTAAAAGGAGGGGTAGAAAGATTTCTGGGGGGGTGCAAGTGGCATCACTCAGTGAGCTTCAGCAGGGGTTAGGCGTTTGGATTAAAGCCTTTCACACAAAATAGGAGGGGTGAAGCAGAATTTTGGTGGGGTTGAACACACTATTAGAGTGGTTAGATAAATTCTAGGAGGGGGTTTAACCCCCCCCCCCAGTAAATCTGCCCATGCACCAAAGCTGAAGCAAAGAAACCATAGGTTATATTTGTATTTATGTTTATCTATTGGCATGTAAATATCAAACAACACTGGCTGGCATAAATATTCAGTGTATAAAAAACAAACTTTCCACTATGGAATACCATATGCATGGGAGGTTGATGCCAGTTAATTACATACCGGTATTAAAAAAACTGAAGCCAAAGTAACAAGCCAATTAAAGAGGGTCGATTATGGTCAACAAAGAATTTACTGTAATGCACATTGTCTTCTGGAAAGTATGTCACCTTTCCTATAGAGCCTCGTTTTCATTATTGTGATATGTAGGCTTTAGTTAATTGTCACATATGCAAAAATGAAGCAATGTAGCCAGTGGTGATCTATAAAGTCTGCTTACCAAATACGATACAATAATCAAGTAACCCATATTCTGAAAGATTCACATATCTTAGAGCCTTAATTAAACAGGCACCAAAACCCTTTTGGCGTACATGTTGAAAATTTCAATGGGGTCAACGAAACGATTTTTCCTCTTTGTCGAAATTCCATGTTACTTTACATATTTCTGGCATTTTTAATCGACATAATCTGTGAAATGTGATCTGTGATGCAGGCTATATTGCATATGTCTTCTTAAAGTTATTTCCCCCAATTTTTGCCTGAATTACGTTTATAATTTGCCCGACTTCATTTTGACTGGGGGTAACTGCCCCACCCTGTTTGCCTATGAGGGTGTATTAAAATTTAAACAGACAAAAAACCCAGAAATGGTCACCATTTCATTAAGTTTTCCATGTGCATAAGGGACCAAGGGCAATGTAGAATATTGGGCAGCCTGAAAAAAAATTTTAGTTAGATGAATCTTCTACAGTGCTTGTGTCTTTAAATTATAGTCTTAAAATTTATACAGTGTATATACTGTAGGTGTCGCTTAGACTAACAAATTATTCCAAAATTTGGGGCATTTTTCTCTTTGAAGGTAAAAAATCTATTGTGACTGTCACATTTCCCCAGGGTGGGAGGAGTGGTGGTTTCCAATGACAAGTGCAAATTATTTGCACAAAGCACTTCTGAACTGCTGAAATGGAGAGAGCTGCTGTAATGTGATTTTTATTTTTAAGGTAGAAATTTTTAACCCACCAGCTCTTTCCCATTGACGAGTAAAATTGTCTGATGTTAGACAGAGTAAAATAATAAAGTAGGGGACAACATTGGAATTCAAATGAAATTGAGAATACACTCACAGAAAGAAGCTGCAAATTGGCAAACATGATTTTGTACTATAAAAAAGATGAGGCATGTGGCAGAATGCACATCTTGACGAGATAAGAGGCCCACCAAGGGTGTAACCCAGGTCGCTTGTCACTCATTTTGTAGCTTGTTTTATTGTAATAAATGTCGCCCCATAACACAAATCACAATTTGTCGCTTTTTCCTAGTCAGAAGCTGTCGTTTGTCACTCTTTTTTAGATAGTCTGTCGCCTCTTTTTAAGGAATGTCGCCTGTCGGTCATAACCCCTTGGTGGGCCTCAGATAAGGCGGGTGCTTTTACCAGCCCTGAATAAGCAAAAGGAATGTTTTGCATAAGGATACACCTGGAATGTTTTGAAAGAACATCCTGGGGTCATTTGGACACCTTGCAACATTTGCTATCAGCTCCCCCCCCCCCAACGTGGATGTCGCATTGTTCAAATTAGGGGGGGGGGGCTAGAGCTTACTAAGGGGTCCAGGGGTATACTTACTCTATACCTGTGAAAATTTTGAAATCTGAGTCCACTCACTATGAACTCTGGAAATGCATGCAATCAAATTTACTAGTTGCAGTTAAAAATGTTGAAAATATTTTCTTACAAATTCTTGTGTTGTAGAAGTTTTGTTGCCACAACAAAACAAGAGTTTCCTTTTTCAATTGACTCCAGCATCTTCTATGATAAATATTTTAGATAAATGGACATATATTTAACTTTAGAAACCTGCTCGAATAAGCTTACCCCTGCCTCTTTACCAAAAAAGATTCACAAGAATATTTTAAGATTTATTGATTGGGTTCGTTTACTATGTTTCATATTTCGTGTACTTTAGCCAAATACTCTCTTTTAAGCCCCCTTCACCAATAAACCTGCTGCGCTCAAAGGTTCCGGAAAGAAATAACTCCCCAGGGGAAAGGGGGCTTAATATAGGAATTATGGTATGACAAATATTATATTTGACTGCACAACAGGTTTCAGGCTGCAGAAACACATATGGTCATTCTTACATTAACTTACTATATGGAAATAGTAAGAATCTCTGCAAAGACGAAAGTACGACCAAGCATCTTCAATATTTGGCTGAGACATATTTGTGTCTTTTGAAGAGTATTAGATCTGCCAAGGTATGAATCAGACAGGTCTTATGAAAATATTCTCACCATTGCACTCACAAATATTCATTTTTTGTATAACATTTTTTCTTTATTATCAGTGTTCAATATACTGAACAGATGGCTATTGGCCATTTTCCGAGCAAAACGCCAATATGGCTGTAGATTGATTGCTCCGCACAGACATTATAGCCGATCATTATGCCACATTAATGATCATTACTTTGAATAATTTCTCCCTCACTCAGATTGCAAACCAAAATGCAAGTTAGTAATTAAACTATTTCAACTTCGTAATATTTGCATGCGAAGTGAAATAATTACAATTTAATGTATTGTACAACTTTTCTCTTTTGATTCCTATCATTAATTAGTATCCGATCATGCCCGACCGTTTTCGTGGTTTGGTCTGGCTTATATTGTCAGACCAAGTTTTCCGAGAATTATATTGATCTCTGTTCTTTATATATAGGTATTATACGACCGGTATAATAAAGGAGGAGAAGACTCAGTTGAAAAGATTGCTGCAAAAGTAGGCTTTAAACTACCTCCCACAATAAATGAAGATTGATTATAGCAGAAATGATAAAAGACATCAAGATATCAGCTGTACTCTGCTGGACTGACCTGTGAAAGTAGGTTATTACAAACACAAAAAATTGCAGTGGACATTATATACACTGCAAGTATAGGTATTTTAAATACCATACTCAACCTTGCAAGTCAGGAGCGCCGGGAAATTACCTAGTTGATTACTGTACATGTACGACACACTGTATCATTTAGAAAGAGCAGCGAATTTACTTAAATTCAATTCAGAATTCGTGTTGTGTAGGTCGTCTTTCTGAGGTTGTATTTTTAGCAAATTGCTTAATTGCAGGACGATTACAAATTGTTGAGACAATTTGTAATACGTGTGTCCGGTTTTTTTTGAAAAAAACTTGTCAATGTACGTTTGTATGTGACGCAGTCCACCATTTTTCCACACATGGAACACGCAATGACCCAAGACAATTTACGTAGGTCGAACAATGACTGAAATGAGATCACGTCTCATCAAAGTATTTGCGATTCTTCAAATTCATATCAGTCTACTGCACAATACAAAACTTCTTTTTCTTTACAGTCATTAACCAGGTTTTTTTTATAACATGACGTATAATCATTATTCAGATCGTTCACTTGTATAAAGTGGAGTGCTCATACTAGATCGACTAGATCACAAAATCTCAATGCAAAAAAGTGCAAATTCTGGATATTTTAGTAGTCATTTAGCCTCTCCCCAATTATTAAAATGGAAGGGAAACTACTTGCATCAGGGGATGAACAGTCGTAGATAAATTCTCCCAGGATTTAATGTTTCCAACGAACTTTTGACGATTTCTATCATCTCAGCCAATAAAACTGAATCTTACATGTGCGCGTGGACAGTATTTTTATCTGTTCCGATCCGGCGTAGATGCAAACGATTGTACTAAATGCAGGTGAAACGAGAGTGAGGGTTGATGAGAGTTGGCAACAAGGGACATTTCAAGCTCTAGATTAACAAAAGAAAGGTTTGATGAGTGTTTCAACTATGTTTCTACAATTAGACATTCCGAAGTTGGTGAGAGGACTGGGAACGAGTGTTAAAAAGTGCCCAAATTAAGAAATGAACCAAATCACAACAAAGCACTAAAAAGACCACCTCAAAATTAGTAAGTATACAAAGTTTGAAGACGTTTACATGAAGTGCATGAAATACCTTTCGAATAATAAGCTTTCGAAAATCGCGATATTTACTATAAAATGTTTTTGTTTTAGGGGACGCGCGTCTCCAAAACAATATTTTAATCAGTAATTTCACAATTTTCGAAAGCTAATTATTCGAAGGGTATTCATGTAAACGCTTTCAAACTTTGTATACTTACTAATTTTAAGGTGGTCTTTTTAGTGATTTGGTTAATTTCTTAATTTGGGCACTTTTTAACACTCGCCCCAGTCCGCTCATCAACTTCGGAATGGCTAATACATGATTGTGTTGGGAAAACAGTAAGGCCCCGATTACACTATACCGGATTGCATCGGAGCGTCGCGATTTTCATACCGGATTCGGCTGCTGTTTACACTACGCCACAGTAATCCGGTACGCGACGCGGCTTAAAATCACTCCACTTTGGAGGTGATATGAAAAGTAATCCGGTGTGTGCCGAAGCAGTGTAAGCAGGCCAATCCAGTAAGCTTCGGTACAAAATCGGTTTGGGCGTGTACGTTTTACCATTTTGCCTTTATTTGCCCGCTTTTACAATATTTTAGAGCTGTCGTTTGTTTCGCCTTACAACCATTTACTATTTCTGGCGAAGACAAATAAAGAAAACGATAATAACATTGACTTTTTCGCTTTCGATAGGGCAAAATTTAAAGAAATACTCATCGATTTTAGGTTAGAGCGAAACGAAGCAACGTCTGGTAGTCAAGCTTTTTAGACAAAGTTATAATTTAAAAAGAAAACATGTGTTACTTCTTGTTTTTAATAAATTTTAGTATACTGGCCAAAAATATTACTTGTTTCCATGGCGACAGCGAGACACGAGCTGGCAACAGAGCGAAGCGGCATGCATAGTGTAAACACCCTTGTTTTTTCAGTACTTCGGAGTGAAAATCAATCCGGTATAGTGTAATTCCAGCCTAAAACAGCTGATTACATTGCGTGACTGCCAGTTCTCATGCACTCGGAGTCCTTTTCCTGTGAAATCTCGAGTAGTTTTCTGCGTGGTAGTCAAGTATTTTTGCCAGTGGTATAGAACTATTATTAATAAATTAATAACACCTAGAATCATTGATCAGTGTATGGTCAATATCAGAGAATAATTCCAAGCAACTAATATATAAATGACAAAGACGCCTCCAGAAAGTACGTTCCCTTGGCTATAGAGCCTCGTTTTCGTGATTGAGACGTTGGCCTTAGCGAGACATGAAACTATATCCCGCCTTTGTTTTTCTGTCTTCGTTCAGAACAAAGGCAAAATTTCGTTCTCAACGATGGCAGAAAAACAAAGTCGGGATATAGTTTCATGTCTTGCTGTTTTGTCCGGGTAAGGATTGGGTTCAGTATTCATAAACAGCGAGACCGCATGAATCTGTAACGGGTAGACACGTTGAGCGACCACTAATGACTCCAAACTCAGTATTCGCAAGATAATGTGCAGACGCACAAATTGTGTCAAGTATGTTTTCGTACTTCGTTGTCTTGCTCAAATTCTCTAATGTCACGAAAATGAGGCTCTGAAGCCAAAGTGGCGTACGTTCCGGAAGGTGTATTGTCATTCCCACTCAAAAGACCAGAAGTGAACAAACTATAAATACATGGTAGTTTAGGTTGTAGTAAAATTTTCATATTCAGAAAATAGCAAAAGCCTGGAAAACATTCCCCATTGTGATAAGGCATGACATCTAGTGCCAAAAGCAAAAAAGGGCTTGACTTGTAAATCCTTCAACTGTTTAACGTTCAGAGCCTACTTTGCTTCGTTCCAATGATTTCACTTCCCGTTTTACAAACGTGGCAGTTTACATGCTTATCCTTCAAAAATATTGGAATTCATTACGTCAAAGACAAAGTAGAAGTATCTAGCTATCATTGCTTCCTTTGTGCATTTATATATATACCCTGAGTTCTAATCCTATAGACTTCTGTATATTGTTACAGCTATTGTGGCTCATAAGGTTTTCCATTCTTTGCTTACACCACGATAACGAGACTATAACAGCATTCCTGGCTAGATATTTGGGCAAATTTCTGGGTAGGCTAAAGCTAGAGTATATAATGCTATATATATACTGTTGACAATTGGTGGCCGGTGTAGAAGTCGTCCTATATGTGGAATGATGCAATTTTATTTGGTTGATAAATATAGGTTTGTATATGCGGAGTCTAAGACGATATATGACGACGTTTCCCTGGACAAGTTGAGATGTACATTATAAACAAAATATTATATTTGTGTGTATGAATTAAAGTGCATATATCCTTGGTGCGTATAACCAATTTTGAGCAACTGTAAGTCTGTATATGAAAAGAGATTATATATTATAGTCGGCAATTTACAATGTTAAAATGCCACGTATGCACTTCACACACAAAATATATAGTTTAAAAATAACTTATAACCGGCTAACAGATCGTCCAATTAGTTTTTACTCACTTACTGATTTAGAGTTTCTTTTTTATACTTCTATTTTGATTCGTAGACGTGTATTTGATATTTTGATATGCTTTACCATATAGTCTGCGGTTTTACAGTTCACATAAAACCTCTCAGTGCAAGTTAAAACCAATTGGAAAAATTGAAAGAGAGACAGACCACAAATTACCAATAATGAGCCCATGTCGTGTATTATGTCATAACATTCTTAGTTATATTTATATGTAGTTTTAGGTGAAGTAAATTTGTTTGCTCATGTCATGGCTTTTATAAGCGATACTATAGAAGTAAGTGAATTAATGATAGCATTATAGGCTTCTGCATGCATTGGTTTTATTGGATATATTGTACTTACTAGTCTTATAGTATACTAGTAGATATATATATCATATATAACTATATCAATATACTTACAACGTTTTGATGAAATGTTCTGATTTAATTATTATAGAAGAGTTTGCCTCTCTTCAAATGAACTGCCTGGGCTGTGGTATTCTGTGGTCGCCACACTCGGTGTCTATATACTTATCAATTCTTCATGATATTATACCTATATATGCACAGTGACTGTAAGAGTTGAACATACAGTATGTTTCTAGTGCAGGTATACTTCGTTTGCCTGTCTATATACAGGCAATATTAAAGATTGTCACGTATTTCGACATTTAAACAAAGTGCATTCATATATATAGGAGAACTGATTTCTCTTCGACAGATTTCTGCAATAAGGTTTTGGGAAATTAGAAAATATATCTATAATTCAAGAGTCAAGAGATTATATACAAGACTCCATTAATATATATGCTGTTGTGGTTTGTGTCTGAAACAGTTAATGATCTGAACTACCTATAAAAAGGATTAGAAGTTGTAACAACGACTCCAAAGGCAAAGACGTTAGTGGCAAAGGATTTCCGTTAATGTATAGAGTATTAGTGTATGCCACTTGCAGCAGAGGTTGCGTTTTCTGTGTCACAGTGTCACTATAAACGAAGGAATATATATTGATAAATGGAGCCAAGTCACTATACTGTCACTTCTGTAGAGATTTACTTATTAATCACTAGAACTTTTATCTGATTTTCAATTTCCATATGTATATTGAGTCATATATGCAGTTAGATGTTGATAGAGATATTCCACACTATTCCAATGGTTTGCAACATTCCATCAATGGTATCCGTTATATATTTTAAATAACTATATGTATGCTTGGTGCACCGTTAAGCAACCATGTAAAAGTAGAAACTATGAATTTACAGGATTAGTTAGGATTGTATATACCTGCATGGCGTATACTTTCAATGCCATTGCGGGCAATGGACTATTGGACTATACTCTATGTATAGTGAAACCCCTTCATCAGGCAAGTTAGTGGAATGGCAAACTATAAGTCAGTAAAGCCTGCATGTGTGCATGTGTTACAAAGGTTTGCTATAGAAATATGCACTTAATATACAGCGTTTCAAATCAGAAGGAAATTAGAATGGAGATTTTGAAAACCATTTGTTTTGATATTCTATGATATAATATACATAGTAAATATTTTAGTTTCTACTTATTTCGAAGCATGAGGGCTTGAGGCTGATAAACACAACACAACACAACACAACATGCAGATCACAACATTGAACGCGAGTATATAGAACTGACAAGTACATAACAACAACATGCATGCTTAATATAGCTCTTGCCAAGTAGTATTCGCTATAGATTATTGATTTCTTTCAACCTCCCACGAAATGACACTATTACTAAACATGCATCATCCTAATATAACATTATAGCCTATACTATAGGCAATGTATACTTTATATCACAGTGTATTCATTGCTATGCACATACAAGCTACGCGTGCGATTTGAAATTTTCGATTGCACTTTTTTCAGTCAGCTAAATTGAAAATCACTCCTCAAGATCGAAAATATTTTAGTCAGAAGATGCTAGAAGGACAGCTAGTATATATATGCATGTATGCACCATACCAGCAGAGTGCTATAGGATTTAAACAGTGCCAGTGCGGCGGGAAATAAACTAGAAATACACTTCACATTGGCACTATAATGAGAGAAATTAAAGTAAAATAAGTAGAAGTGGTTGAAGATCCAAGTAAAAAGTACATGACCTATACTGCATGTCTGCAGGCATCTCACAAAAATTACAATTATAGTAAGATGCATGCAGATAGTATAGGTCGTGTATCTTTTACTTGGATCTTCAACCACTTCTACAACCAGGTTATTTTATTTAATTTCTCTCATTAGGTCGCCAATGTGAGGTGTATTTTATGTATGATTTATGTATTTATCATGAAAACGTATTGCAACATGTATAGGAACGTATACTTGCACTCTCGCTGGCCTTCTCGTTATATGTGGTGGAAAAGAAAATATTAAATTATATTATATTAAACAAGAAATATAGTGATGTTTGTGATGTTACTCTGAGAACCGCAACCTTGTCGTGGGTTCGATTCCCACCGTGGCCAAGCTAACTTAACATCATATTCACCTGAGTACATAACAGCAACACACACAAAATAAAGAAATATAGTGTGGGTGTTGAATACTTTAAATTGTTTTTTCTTTGAAACAAAATTATCCATGCAGCACTCAGCATGCAGACCGCGGTAAACTCTTGCCTAAGCCTATAATGTCAGTAATGACTATAAATGTGTCACATATATAAGCCATCTTCTATATATAAGCACGTTCTTTATGGCTTTAGTATTGTGGTGTCGTCAGTCATTGCTATATATACACGTGGAGTTATACTATAATGCCTTTAGTGAAGAATATTACATAGGCTATACGTACCTAAGTCTAAGAATGTATGGTATCCAGCTTTTCTAAGGACAAAATTCCTTGCCTTGTTTTGTTGACGTTGTTATTAAAAATGACAACTATAGCTGTATAGTCAGTACGTGCAGGGTTTAATTAATATTGATTTTTTTTTCAAACCATGTGTTAGGGTTATATATCTAAACTAAAGCCTGGCGGTTTACACGACTATCCTAGTTTCTGTGATCACAGTACTCAGTAGGAATTTTGCATAAGTAAATTCTACGTTTTGAAGGATTTGTAAGAAGTGTTTAAGCAAACTGACTGAATGTTAAATACCGAGTCAGTTCCCTCAAACATTTCTTACAAATCCTTCAAAACTTAGAATTTACCCATGCAAATTTTCTACTGTGATCACAGAAACTCTGATAGTGCAAACCCGCGGTTTACGTCTCTGTGTTTATGGGTTAAGGTTATACTTGCATGAGGTGCATACATATTGGACATAAGGACATTATCTTATTTGCTTCACTTGCGGATCTCATTTTTTGAAACGGATGTAAGATTGGCATCCTATAAAAATATCCCCCTTTTTCAATTAATTTTCGCTTGAAATCTTGCAACAGATTTATAGAAAATAAGGATCCAGCAGTTCAGAACTGCGAACTTGTGTAGATGATTCCACTATACCTAAAAATATAAAGGAAACTTCGACGTTTCAAGCAAAGGCTATTCAAGAGTCGGTCAGGAAGTATAGTATCAACTTCTAGACGAAAGGCCTTTGCCCTTTGGGCTTAATTGGCTTTGCTCGAAGCTCTTTATATTTTTAGGTAATTGCATCATCTATACACAGTTCTTTGCACCGAACCGGCGAACATTCAAAAATTTCAGAGCCTCCTGGCTTTATACAGCAATTTCACTGAGCACGTTTCAGGGTGCTAAATTCTATTTATTGCCTATATTCGCCACATTTCACTGTTGTTTTGGCTATAATCGTATAGCGAAATATGCCAAGAATTTACTGCTAGTTAAAAGTAAACATTTGCTTGTATGTTTTAGTCATCCATGCCCGACCATGGAAAATTGTTTTGTTTAAAAATATGTGCCAAATATCTAAATTATTAAATATGCGAGATTACTGCTTACTTATTCAGCAAGAGACAATTAATTCTTTAGCGCGCTGTCGTTAGCGGATATAATTTAAACTTTATGTATCTCAAGCATTTCCGAGTTTGGTGCTATAAATGCCAACGGGAATTTTCTATTCATATACAATATCCCCAAAAGTCTAAAAAAGTTATTATTTTCTAGTCGCTAATTCATATAATTTGCATCAATTATATACAAGGTTCGACTATATACAAAAATACTTTACAATAATATTTAGATATATATACAGATTATTAATATATACAAATCTGGGATGTTATGACTATGTATGTACAGTACTATATAGGTAATATCACTTTAGTTATTCCATGTGTTCGTAGAAAAAGTTGCGCAATTCTCTTTTTAATATTCCAGGCAGGGGTAGGAGGTCTATAGAGTGCATATTACTTTGCGAAATTGTGATCTTTTTTATGATTGAGTTCATAGCAATATCCTGTAAAGTTTTAGTTTTGTGTGCTTTTACAAGTTTCCCCACAATATCATACTTTTCTGTGTAGATCTTTTCCCATTCGTCTAGATTACTTCTCTGGATGTCATTTAGGTCTGAGAGATCGTCATAATGAGAACGCAATGAATTAACATCAAAAGATAAAGTCGCAAATGCGCGACTAGCGTCTCGCCCCGCTAACATTTTATAATATCCACCGGAATCATATTGCTTCTTATCTTTAGTCACATCAAATATCTTGCCATTTAACGCGATATAGATTGTTCCGTTTGAGCCATTATAACAATTCAGTTCAGACATCAAGTACTCTCTTAATTCAAACAATGACGTTGTCTCGGTCATTCGCGATCTTTCTCTCGCTTGCGGTTTATGTTTCTTCAAGATATTCTTACAGTAAACACTACACGCTGTAAAACATAGACAAAATACGAGTAGAAAATCAGATAGTCTTTCTCGTATATCGCGGTGTTTTGTCAGATTTTGGTCCGTAAGTATTGTCGTTTGAATGCTTATCCCAAAGCTTAGCAACACAGATGTCAGCCATGTGATGCCCATGTTATTCATTTGTTTGCCAAACACACTCGTCGACTCAATAAAAATACCACAATCCATATTCTCTTCTAAATTTTCGCTTCTGGCAATTCTATAGGTGGTTAGTCCAGGCGACTAGTGTCTTCAATGAGTGAATTTTCTATTACTGCTTGTCAATATACATTGTCGACCGCCTGCTGTCAAGCTTCAGTGCCGCAAACAGGTGGGAGACCGGAAGAGACAAACGTGTGTTTTGTCTTCTTTTGTTTACTCCTGCTGCTTTGCTCCTTGTGTTCTCGCTATCCCTTGGTCGTATTCGGTTATATTAAGATCCCACAATCTTTTCTTATTGCGTTATTTTGGGAACGAAAGAGCTATTTCTGAACAGATATGAATGTATATACGTGCAGCATTTTGTATCGAAACTTTACTCTTATACTTGAGCCCTTTATGTTGTTAATATATCACTGTTGCGACATTTAATATGTATGTATGTGCTTATATTGTACCGTACGTTACGTACTATAAACGTAAGTGGGAAAACTGAGTTTAGGTGACACATTGTTAGCGTTATGGTTAACTGTTGTCATGGAAACGAAACGAATACAGGCATATTCATGTTTTTAAAGTTAATATTTAAAGCACTACTATGAATTGTAATCGATATGCGAGTCAACCTTTGAAAAAGGAAAAATACTTTGGGGATCTGGGTCGAGGAAGAAATCGTGCTACATAAAATGTAGCTGCCAGTCATGCTGGATTAACAGGATTAATAAGCGAAAAGTTTGTATGATGAGGCAGAATAGTTGGAAGTCTTTGGAACAAAGCGAGTGCATTCTTGGAATACTGAGAAATTGAAATGAAAAGAGTGCCGATACTTACATCCGGAGTCTTAAGACTTGGGCAAAGATTCATCTCATTATGGAATAAAGAGGTTTTATCTAGCGCCAATGAAGAACTTTACATACAAACCGCACATAATGAATTATTCGTGAATATTTTTGTCCGTTCAGTGTCTATGTTTAGACAGACTAAGTGCGCGGATATGACAGAAGCACTGTTGCCGTTGGCGGATTTGTGCTGATAATTAGCTCTCACCGCTAGTACTCTACATCTTACTGTAAAGTCTCTCGACTCGAAGGTACAGTGTAGGCAGAAATTGGAAGGTAGCAGAAATTTTAGAAAATCGAAATGAAGACGGCTCGCAATCACAGACAAGTTCCGTACAATGCCACTATGCCAGATCATTGTATAGGACGTAGCCTCATGCGAACAGACGAACAGTCTATACCGATAAGTACCAGTATTCGTTTCAGTTTCCTGCATGTATACACATTTTTGTGTAGATTGTTCACAGAAACAGGCTATCTTGGACGCAGTACCAGATGCCGATACAAATAGTGTATTCTTATTCGGTAAAATGAGTATATTGAGGTCTATAATAGAAATTTTTGCAGGTATAGTTTCATCCTTAACCCGCGCTAATTTCATGAACATAGTTCTAGCTACGAACCCAACACTCGTATACACTTTTTCACGATAAAGTATAGTCTATTGCGTAAGAACGCTTACATATCAATACTGCAGTATAGATTATATATACGAGTATAAACGTATATCAGTAGACATCAGTAAATTAAGTCTAAAGATTCCTAAATAAAATGACGCTTTACACCAGCCGGCTGTCGCAGCCTGTGACTTTTAAATTAGCCTCGAAACGCCAAGTTTTTCTCTGCAAATTAATCCGTTGATCTGTTATCTATACCATGAATTGCACGTTGTCATGGATGATTCCAGCTATCTACTAATTTTTTTATCTAGACATGAAAGACGAAGTCTATCATTATAGCTCAAAAGAGCATCCTAAAATTAGTAAAATTGCAAACGGTTTGTTTGCGAAATGTTGTAAAATACGAAAAATACAGCCCTGTGAAATTAGCAAATTCTGAACGATTAGGATAGATTTCGCCCTTCTTGTTTCGATCAAAATTTAGTCTATTCTTGGGTTTCACTACTAGGCCGTCGTCTAGTGCCCCAAAAGATGGCTAGAAAACGATTTTCGTTGCACACCTTTTTAAACTAAAAGAAAATTACATATTCTTATAGATTAAGTGACGCTGAATCCAAATCTAAAAAGTTCTTGCGGGTTCACCCTGCAGTTTTTTTGTAAATTGCGATCAAAATCTTAAAATTTACGAGTTTCGCAATAGCATTTTTACTATATGCCATACGTCAAAATGCCTACTCTCGGAACCAGTCACTCGCGCGCCATAGTGAAAATTATACAGGATAGGTCACTTCCGCCTCCTCTTGAGATATGTGAAATCAGATTTGATGTAAACAATCAGCAACACGATTTTCAAGTTTCATATATCATTGCGACAAAGCGTATTTTCTGGCTTTGTACGAAGATATTTAGCAACACTATCGGCATTCTTTCAAGATTATGAACTTATGTGCACACTATTTCATCTTTATGGCGTGTAATAAAGGACGAAACAAACTTCAATTTTATATTTTGCCATTTTGAAGATATTAAGAGGAATTAATGGACATAATTGTAGTAAATATGGATATATTTGTATCAGTATGGTAAGCCAAAAACTACCAAATACTTAACAGTAAATATATAAAATACATATTTAAACAATACTATAATTAGTACCATATAGTAACTAATAACACATTAGCTTTTGAAATTTGCTGTATCGATGTAATGTACTCAGGTGAATAAGATGCTTGTGTGATATACACTCAGAGTAACATCACACAAGCACATTAGCTTTTATCATGATCACAGTCCACTGCCTTCATCTACGTTACTGGGATCTATCCATTGAACTAGATCTACCTCACTGTTCTCACAATTGCTGCATTTGCAAAGTTTAGTGCACTTTAATTTAAATTTGCTTTAAAAAATGAGCATTTTGTTTGACAACCCTATTTGCATTTGTAGCTAACAAATTACTGACCAGCTTGGCCCATACCATCTCGGCCCCATAGTTAATAACTACTGTTTGACATATTGGGGAACTAAGGAAGCCTATTAATATTTTACAAAAGGCAGCAACAAACCGATACAGCCATTTGCCGTTGCATTGGGCATACAGATGAGTAAAGTTTGATTGCAATTGGCTGTGAACAATTTCTAAATCAATATCGCAAGAGAACATCCAGTTTGGCTTAAATATTTAAAGATCTAAATTACTGATTTTTCAAATCTCTCTCAAACATTGCAAAGATAGAATGTAGTCATGGTTCCTAACTTGTTTAATGGTTAGGTAGTCAGTTTAGAAACGGGGCGAGTTTGTCCTTGAACAGTGGGCCAAGTTGGTTAGTGGGCCGAGTTGACTGTAAAGCATTCTAAGATGCTGTGTGGAGCAGGGCCTTGTGTCCCCCATGGGTATTATTGATCGATGTGGTATTTTCCTGGCCGTAAAGATATCACTCCAGGAAGGTGGTAACACCCTCGGGAAGGTGTAAATCATCTCTAAGTACCTCAAATGCATATTTGAAGAATTTGTGGTGCTTAATCTTGCTACATACTCTGAGTGCTGTTGTCTTGCCTTTACTGCAATGTTGAGATATTCTAACTAAAGTTTAAAAATGTTCAATATGACAGAAGAGGTGTGTGACATGCCTTTGCTAAGGGGCAGAAGAGCAGTTATGTGTTAGGTGGCAGTTATGTGACCTTATACATACAGTAACTGCTGCTGTATGTAATGGAAATTTTTATTTAAGTAGGTAAACCTACCTAATTTATGACAAAATGTTATTAACAATAAGATTCCAGATGTTTGTTGAAGAGGAGTAACTCTTCCTAAAATGTGACAGGTATAGCTTCACCTATCAGCAGTGAGAGCAATGAGTCCTTGGTACATAAATTATGCTCGCTATATGTCTGCATACTGGCTGGAAATAATTTGTTTGCATTAGACATGCCCCGGTAAGGAAATTATATATACAGTATATGATTCCTCAAATATTGAAATATTGGGATGATATCTACTCGAAACCTTATGCAGTCAGATAAATATTTAATTAAATACTGTTATAAGGTTGAAGAGAACATTGAAAGTTTTTTGCAAATAATCAAATACTGACAGTAAATCGACACTTGGATACTGTAACTGTGTGACACTAACAATTTGTCAAACTGGATGTCATTCTAGTCTTGAGTTCACTGGAGAATTTTAATAATCTTTTTAGGAATATAACATAAAAGTAATTTAGATAACATGCATCAAGGGTTGGATCCTAAGGCACTACCATGGGGGCACTCATCCTCCCTAGTCTACCTCACAGCCACTCATTGTGTCAAGGTTTCTCCCCATGAGTGGCAGCTCACTCGAGCACAACATTCCTTTCCGGAAAACAACCGATCACAGTAATGCTTCTAAATTTTGGAAACATGACCTTGAGACAAGATATTTATGAATTATTAAACATTAAGATATCTAACGAAAGACAAAGGGAACAGAATGCTGTGCTTGAGTGAGAAGCCGCTTGTGAGGAGAAACTCAACACAAATAGCTGCTCTGAAGGAGACCAATGCTTCCCCAGAATATTTTAAATATATGGTGCCCCAGATTGGCTAAAAATACATTTGCCATACAACATTTGTAACAACATTCTATAATCTGTACATTTATACACTATCAAACTATGAAGATGGATGTACTTATAATTGTATTTCTTAGCTCATTCCTACAAAACAGGTAAACATTCTTTCTATTGGTTACAATTTCCCTCTGAATTTCTCCTTTTACCTAAATTTTTACAATATATACATTTTTGTTTTTCATGGGGAAATATCTGATCCGGACAGCAACTGTTCCGGGTAGCTACAATTCTGAAAATGCAAAAAGGGTTGTCAAACAAAAAGATGCTCATGTTTTAAGGCAAATTTGAAATGCACTGAACTTTGCAAATGCACTAACACTTTATTAGCTATGCTCTTGGCATAAATTTTATACAAAAATCCACACAAGGAATTGTGAGAACAACAGTGGATTGTGATGATGATGAAACCTAATGTGCTATTAATTATTATATGGTATTAATTATAGTATTGTTTAAATATGTATTTTATAGATTTACTATAATTAAGTATATTTGATAGTTTTTGGCTTACCATTTAACAAATATATCAATTGCTACAAATTTATATGTCCATTAGGCATCAATGCTCAGTCTTCAAAATATAAAAGTGAAGTTTATTTCGTCCTTTATTACACGCAATAAGGATGAAAAAATGTGCACATTAGTTCATAATCTTGAAAGAATGCCTGGTGTTGCTAAATATCTTCGTACAAAGCCAGAAAATACGCTTTGTCGCAATGATATATGAAACTTAAAAATCGTGTTGCTGATTGTTTACATCAAATCTGATTTCACATATCTCAAGAGGAGGCGGAAGTGACCTATCCTGTGTAATTTTCACTATGGCGCGCGAGTGACTGGTTCCGAGAGTAGGCATTTTGACGTATGGCATATAGTAAAAATGCTATTGCGAAACTTGTAAATTTTAAGATTTTGATCGCAATTTACAAAAAAACTGCAGGGTGAACCCGCAAGAACTTTTTAGATTTGGATTCAGCGTCACTTAATCTATAAGAATATGTAATTTTCTTTTAGTTTAAAGAGGTGTGCAACGAAACTAAACATTTTGAGGCACTAGACGACGGCCTATACGGCATTTTGTAGTGAATCTGACTGAGTGTCAACCTAAAATGTATTGATGCTTACAGTACGCTGTACGGGAGTGAGAAAATGATACGAAATTGCATGTATTTGCCACCAAACACAAGGCCAACACATACAGTGAACAATTAATTCACTCTGATGACTGTGTCCCGATTTAGAGTTGACCCCCCGTCAAATTTATGACGTCATATGAAACCCAAGAATAGCTGGGAATCATCCATTCAAAACATTCGTATTTAATTTACGTGCATTATGCTATAGATTGATCATCATATGGATTTTGACTGAACAGTTTGTTGTTTAAAAAGACTGTTGCATGCGTTGTCTATTTTTGAAGCACAATCTCTCAATCTAGATCGAAAAAAATGTTCTTGGGCGTGCAGCTTTGCACATTATGGGGGTATATTCGTATCAGAATCTGAAACCTAAAAAAATTCGCCGGTGCCAGAGGTTCTTCCACGGTCGCAGGGGGATAATGAGGAACCTCTGGCACCCAGGGTGGGGTACATGTTAAACTATCTGGATTTTCTGATCTCACTCAGTTGAAGGGTTTTATAGATGGAAATTTCGAGTGTAATTTTTATACATTTATTTAGACCTAATCAGGAGCAGCTGTAACAAATGCAACTATATATGCCCCCTGGCTGCGGCCCTGCGATCCCGTGAAGCGTTCCCGCCTTTTAGGTGCGGCGGGCTGACCGTCTGCCACGCAGGCTACGCTCTTACTAACTGAGTGACTAAGCACAGAGCTCTAACCGCAAGTTCATGTATGCAGCTAATTCAAAAAAGGTTGTCCTTTGCAAACCTTAAACTCTAAACCGTAAACTCTAAGCGTGCAAAGCATAATGGGAGCATCATTTAATCAGTTTAGAGCCCATTTCTTAGAGACATGGTAAATACCTCCTTACGAGAACAATTCATTCACAAAATGACAAAAAGTTGCAATATTCAACTACTAAGCTTGAAACTTGTGCTCCCATTAAGCTTTGCGCACTTAGAGTTTAAGGTTTAGAGTTTATATACTAAGGTGATGCTATAGTAAGGTATATGGGTAAATATCTGGACTTTTTGGCCATACCACTCGATAGGACTACTGTTGAAGGGTTTTTCAGATGGAAATTGAGAGTGTAATTTGTATACATTTTTTTAGACCAGACCAAGGAGCAGCTGTGAAAAACGCAGCTACAGGCCCTCTGACAGGAATGAAACCTGCGGCCTTGCCCAGTTAGAGCTAGACAACTGGACTCTGTAGCTCAGTTGGTTGGAGCGCTCCACCGGAATCACAAGTTCCGCGATTCCTGCCTGATTCAGCCTGAACGCCTATATAGTTGCATTTTTCGCATGCAGCTGCTCCTGGTTAGGTCTAAATAAATCTATAAAAATAACCCTCGAAACTTCCATCTACATGTACTAAACAGCCTACAAATATATTTAAAATTTTAAACCCTGCATGCTAATCGCCTTTTATTAAATATTGTATGTTCTACAATGCGCGATGATCTGACAGACGGTGGAACTGTGATTGCGAGTCTCTTGCCTTCAGCTTCTTTTATATCTTCTTCCTTCTAGTGGATTAATTACCATTCCCCAATGAGCCACCTGCAGGTCCTGCTCATGCAAGTATATGGTAATACCTACTGTGAACGGCATATTCTGTGATGTGAACGAATAATTTATAGTAGAGTAAAATATTTTAGAATCTGCGAATGTGAGCTGATCTTTGCTTATCAATGCTCTTCATTGAACAGAAACAGTAGACCTTACCGATTATTCTCGTTTACCCAATGGCCTCGTTTTCATGTCAAATACTCACTCATGTTGTTGAAAATTACTTTGTTATTGAGCCTAAGAACAGCAAGAAACAAATTCGTCCAGGAAAACATGGGGATATAATCTTTATCTGCCCCTGACATGCTAAAATAAGTTAACATGGAAACGAGGCCATTGGGTGAAAGAGAATCATGCAGTAAGGTCTATTGAAATGACATAGTACGGCATCGAACTGACATGAAGTCTTTCTCAGGAAGTTCGAACACAAATAGCAGCTCTTCACATTTCTCAAAGAACAGGAACAACAACTGCCGTGAGGTCATTCATGGTCAAGAGGTAAAAAATACATCCGCCACTTGACAATGCATGCTTTATTTTGCACACCCTTTCCGTCCTCTTGTGAAATAAAGGCAATCTCCGCTGTACTTAGTAGAACGATGCCAAATACAGAGCTTTATACAAGTAAACAAGCCCGACGTTGCACGTAATCTATAAGTCTCTAAAATAAATTGCTCTGGATACAATCAGTTTAGTACCTAGGCTGTTGTTCGCTATCCTCTTTTCTTGTGACTTCCCTTCTCCCGTATGGTATAATAATACTCGAGAAATAAAGTGTGTTTAGTTTCTATTTTTCACGCTTATATAGTTATGTAAAGAGGCCGAACATCCATTGTATGATAAATACATTAAATTATTGAAATCACGAAAGAAAACCTAGTTTGTATTCATGCTTTAATTCATGCCCCCCCAGTAAACTATTTGGTCGTATAGATTCCCCCCCCCCAAAAAAAAACCCCAAAAACAAACCCAAAAAAACCCAAAAAACAACCAGTCATTCGCAGTGGCGCGCGAAGTTTCATTTCGGCCCAGAACTCCATATTGAATAATTCGGACCCCCCCCCCCATTTCATTTTTTAAAGTTTGTTGTATTATCATTAAAAGAATAGACTGCACTGTATTTCCCCAATGGGCAATGGCCTCGTTTTCGTGTGCGGTGTGGTCAATAACACTTGTTATTTCCTCACGTTTCATACACAGTAGGTGTAAGGATAGGTTTGAAATTGGGAATTTGATCTCAAGATCAAAGAGAAATATATTCGTGCACGAAACATGGGGATATATCTTCATGTGCGCCTGACATGCTAGAATAGGCAAACATGAAAACGAGGCCATTGGGGCAAGTAAAGTCTATTGGATTTAAATTGCGGTCCAATGACGCACTCAGTTCAACCTTACTCACGAGAATTATGGATTGTGTGAAATATTTTATACTACTAACCTTGTATATGAAACCATTTATATCACAACTATTAGTTTATTTTTGTTGAATGCGCCAGGGGCTACTTGAAGTGAAACCATATTTTGGGTTTGAGGTCGCCCCCATTCAGGCTAAAATAATTGAGACCGCCCCCTTTTTTCACCCCTCCAATCATCAATGACCGATCCTAGCCTCCTCCACAGGCATCGCCTTTAGATTATCGGGCAAAATTTGCTTGCACGAGATGCCTGCGGAGGAGGCTAGACCGATCCCTTCGTTTACATGTAACTGTACATTATTACCATGTGTTTTACAACCACGCAGGTCACTGACACAGTGTCGGTGCATCTTTGTTCATAAATTTATATTTGAATAAAAAAAGTTTGAATTGCATGATAGTACTTGTTATTAAAAGCTTTCATTTTATTTCCTGGATATTTGGTTCAAGTTCCGTCACATGCATAACGGCTGCTTGAACATCTCTTTGCGGTCGTGACAATTTTTGCCTCGAGTTAAAACTATAAAACAGTTTCCCTGGCAACAATCATGCCTCACTCAACTATCTGGGGGGCCAAATGGTGCTCTTTGGATGTCACACTTCACAATTGGCTAGCTGTTGAGTATTGTTAGTATGATATTTTGTGCATGAGATGTGAGTTGTAAATCATGTTTCATCCGAGTTTTCATCCTTGCCTCTGTCAGCTAGTGGTTAAGATATTTCATGAGTTTTCAGTCAAAAATTAATTCGCGAGTTTCCGAGAAAGAGAAAAGCGGGGATATACGTATACGAACAATTTAATATCATAAATGGTGACGAATTATACCTAAACGTCACCGCGTCCGCATTATAAACGTTTTTAACAGTGTCATGGTAATAATCTAGCACTGAGCCAACGATCGTTCTTGTTGCCTTTATGGGAACTTTCAACTTTGTCTTTGGCCATTTTAAATTTTTTATCCGTGTGTAACAATTTTATTTATACGGAAGACAACGTTTGCCTTGGGCAACCCCTTTTTGATCTAACAAACTTTGTCTAAGTCTACAAAACAGTTTCAGCTGTTCAACGAGTGTTGTTTTTTTTTCTCGACCTCGTAGCCAGGGGCGTAGGATAGGGACGTGCTGGCAAGGGGCGAGTCGACGAGAACTTGTTGTGGGCCGCTGCCATCATGGGCCCCTAAAATTAAAACATTGGAAAAGATAAAAAATATAGATTTTAATTTTGAAAATCAAGGTTAAGATATTACAATTTACATTTTAAAAATCTAAATTTACGAAAATATTACGGAAAAAATTACGGTACATTAAACGAAAAAATTGTATGTCCAGAATTCCCCCCCCCCCCTGACTTCCGAGCAGATCTTCATCAGTGGCAGTGCAAGTAAGCTACTTGTCAGATTGCCTTCAGTCCACGTACCCGTATTAACCGTACCCTATCCGACCCACCACCAATTCACGGATTAATACCTCGAGGTACGACGCTTTCGCCATTATTATTTTGTATTTATTTGAACGACCGTACGTCCCTGTGTATCTCGTGACTCCAACCTTGAATCATACGTTCGTGACTCGAAAGTTATCATGCCCTTTGCTTATGTGAGATTGATGCTGCAATAAAAAATCTAGAGCAAGACCTACATATAGAGTCGCAAATTGATCAGCTGTGAAGACCACCTTTCAATCACCCGGGGAGAACGAAACATATGATCCTACAGACATATCTGTTTCATTTTTCAATTTCTTGACCCAAAATGTCTTTTTATTCAAGGTCTGACCTGCGAATTTGAAAATAAACATAAATAGGTTCAGTTATGATATATCGAATCATATTAAACAACTTTGAACTTCCACACAACATGTAAGAAGACGTTTTCATACAAATTGACCTAAACTTGAAAAAGTGTCTGCCAACAATTAATCAAGAGTTTACAATCCATCTCAATCCTCGCCTAATCTAAACCACATGTACATGTTTTTTGTATTTGTTATTGTTTTATATGTTGTGCTTACAGCCTTTCTTTTTGGGTTTTGTGCAAGATTCATAAAGATTTGAGAGGGTCAAAATCGTGACGCACTGTCCCTTTAAACCTGTGGATTCTGCTAAAGACTTAGCCTTACGTGTTACAATAGATAGCCACCTAGACCGCGAGCAGTCCCCGCGGAAAGGAGGCCCGCGGGCAGTCTAATACTAGTAATAGCCACCTAAATTATGACAATCATATATTGCTACTTGTATCTTCGTGCATGAACAAATTATGCCAGATTAATCCTGCTAAGAATAGTTTCGACACAAAAATTCTGATCTATTGGAAGTCATTTCACCCCTAGTGATCAGCAAGATGCTTTATTATTCTTCGGTGTGGTCGAATACATCCGTTTCCAACTCGTAAAGAAAGTTCAGTCGATCCAGAACTTTGCTGCTTTGCATGCAGGATTATCACGAATATCAGGAAAGCCCTGGGAACGAGGTTGGAATATCATACTTCAGAGACGCGGTTCTGACCTACTAATGTGTAAATAACCTTGCACCCGTTTACCTGTGCAATAAGTTTAGAAAAAGGTCATCAATCCATAAACGTCAGACTCGCACACAGGACTCTCTGCGAATACCCCTGACTGGAAATTAAAGCCTTTTGAAATTGCGCGGGGAAGATTTCGAAAATTTAATAGTAAATATATAGAAAGTATCAAAATTGCGTGGAGAAGAACTTCCCCGCGCACAGCAAAGATTCCAGTCTGGCGAATACCACTCTTCAAAATGGCAGCTGGTCAACGATCGTTTGCCGTCTATAGAGCTGTCCATGCACATTTGGAACAATTTAGATAAAAACCTGAAAGATTGCGCTTCCCTTAAAATCTTCAAGACAGCACTTAAAAACATTTGTTTCAAGGAGAACGTTAAATAACTTACTAAACTTTGTGCATGGTTAAAAAAAAATTGTAAATAATTTTTGAAAAACCCTTTCAGGGAGAAATTTTATTATGTATATATCTATATATATATAATGAAAACTCAGCTTACGGATGACGGTCTGTATACAGCCGGTCAGTTTACTGGTATTAGTAGACATATTTAGAAAAGACGACGAGGCAAACAAGACGACGCGGTCACAATTTCAACTCAAGATCGAGAGCTACTGTAATAAATAGAAGCTTTTTAAAATAACCTTACATAATACATTGCTTACAAACAACTAAGACGAAGTTCGGGAAAAACGGATCCGCGAGTGTCGGCTATAAGACAGATTTTGCTGCCTCGTACCCAGGCGCTAATAAATTTCATGCGAGTCACTATATGAGAGGTTTATATGAAGTACTTAGTCACATTATAGGAGCGCAAAGGGGGGTGGGATATGAGCGTTCTGGCTAGCCTGTCTCGCGTTTCAAGTTCGCCCATCTCTCCTCACCACAATACTTCATGTAAACTCGCCATATGCGCATCACTGTTTTTTTACAGAGACGCCTGGGTACGAGGCAGCAGATTTTGTGTAACTCCTCCAAGTCGCAACAAGCATTCACATTGCTCCAATGGCAATGACGTGAAATCTTAGTTTAAAGCCTCGTTTCCATATGATCGTAACAATCGTAAAGATTGAGTCACGATCTTTCTCATCGGCCGAAATACAACATTTTAGAACTGAAAATATGCGGGATCGGAGTGATTATAACTAGAGAATGCTAGCTATGATTTATATGTGGTTTAGAAATTACAGGTATAAACTATTAGCATTATAAACTGACCGTTGAGAAAGATCGTGTCTCCATTTTTACGATACATTTACTGCATTCATTTCACTGTGGCAATTTTGTAAAATAAATTTGTTCCATGTTCTAGTGCCGAGGTTGAGTGCCGCCATGGTGTCGTTTACATCTAAGAGTGGATATTTTGCCAAAGCCTCTTGACAGGTTTTTATTTGATCGGCCAATCAAACTGGCCTCGCAGTAATTTTAAATCTTCCCGTTCATCTGTTCATCATTAGATGCAATCAACGGTACAGTATTGCGGTAAAGTCTAGGTCAGCACTTGTTTCCAACCACCAAACTGACATGACGTCATTTTCAGAAGATTGAAGAGGTGTTAAATGGCTATGTAACTAACCCAAACCCTACCCCTACTCTAACCCCTAACCCTAACCGCAACCCTAACTCTAACCCTAACCAAATTAATTAAAAAATCCAAAAAGAAACAACTTTAGAAATTGATCAAATGACGTAATGTCAGTTTGGTAGATGGAAACAAGTGAAAACCTAAAGTCTATGGGTAAAGTAGTCTTGGGTAGCCTCCTCCGCAGGCATCTCACCCGACGAATCGGGTGGTGGGAAAAAGTTTAGTAAATTCGCAGGCTAGAACCCATAGAGAGGCCTGCGGAGGAGGCTAAGTCTTGGGTTTGCTGTGTATTTTTTTGGCAAAAAAAAAAGGAAAAAATTAAGTATTCAAAATGGCGAGCAAAACAGGCAGAGTTGCATCGTCGAAAGGAAGACTTATTGCTGTGATTGGAGACGAAGTTAGTTATATCTCTTTGTTTATTTAATACTAATGTGAAATTTAAATCTTACTGAACTAGTGTTGTTTATACAGGATACCTGCACTGGTTTTCTCCTGGGTGGAATTGGTGAAATTAATGATAAAAGACAGAAAAACTTTTTTGTTGTAACCAAAGGTAATAATTTAGTTGAATCGTATTTTAATAACTTCTTTATTCTCCGTGACAAAGAACTTATATAATTTACTGAACAATGAGTAACAGTTCAAACTGTAGCACAACGCACTATGTCGCAGTTTAAACTGTTGTACAGCAGACCTCTCAACTTTGCAGAGAAGTTAAGAGTGAGATTGGGGATGTGGATGACACCTTTGTAAAACTCTGGGGGTCTGAAATGGCATTGCGTACATTTTTAATGAAATACGTCATTGCTTTATAACGTCCTTTAAAACAAGGCACTTTAGTTACAATAACTGTATTTTTGTGACATACAGTAATGAGCTTTAATTTGCCTTTGATAATTTACATATAGAATTCTGCTCTGACTGATTCTGCATTTTGTCCGCCGTATTTACATATCCGTACTATTTTGTATCCAAATTGCAGGCAAAAGCCATAATGATCCATAATGTCTGGCCGTATATATGCAGGAGCAATAACACACGATTATATATTCGATTTGCAATCCGTATAATGATTAATGTGCTTTTAATTAAGAATACAATATTGTATTTATTTATTGAAAAAATACTATGAAACTGCTATATGTGTGAGATTTACTAAATGTGGCGCAAGAGTGAAGCGAATTGTGTGAGACTCACGCCGAATGCTTGAGAGTTGAGAGGTCTGGTACAGGCAGGGATGGATTTACTGGGGGGTGTGCACCCCCCTAGCCCTGGCCAGAGGGGGTGCAGGGGGGGGGTGCTATTTTTCATGATAAAGCAAAAAATTATTAGAGACAAAATCAGATACAGTGATTTGAGTAATAACATGATGATAAGCGAACTGTAAACAACAATTACAATTCAAATACAGTAGTCAAACAAGTTGTGAAGCAAGTTGATGGGCGGGAGGCACACATGACCTACACAACTCGGCACCAGAGCTGGCAGAGTACCCCCCTACCAGATCACACCCTACCACTTGTTGCACGATTGCTTCAACCCCCTCCCCTATCGCGGACCAATCTAACAATTTTTAGCCAGAACGATTTTTTGGCCCCCCTCACCCCTTAGCGGCATGGTCCATGGCCTAAGCCAGCATGGAAATTTAAGGCGAGTTTTCATCACGGAAAAGTAATTTTAATGGCATGGACTATAACCCCCTCTCCCCTTAATGGCACAAATGCTGTTAAGCGTGACGAAATCTATTTGTCGACGCTCCCTTAATGTTCACGTCCCCCCTATGGATGAATGCTATGGATGAATTTTTCTGAAGGGTGACCCCAAGTCATTTCTGAGGGGTTAAGCTTGTTGGGTATGGGGAAAATTTAGAAATTTCTGACATGGGTTTTGCCTTGAGGGTCAAGACACACATATAATTCTGTTGCATAAAACAAATATTGAATGTTTTCATTCATGCAATAGGGTAATTCCATGTTAATTCATCCAGGGGGTAGAACCATACCTCTTCAATTTTTTTTCAAATTAGGAGGGTATATTTATCATTTTGAGAAATGTAAAAATCCAAAATTTCAGACTTGTACCTTTAATAGTTCTTGATTTATGGATATTATATTTTGAGGATTTTTGTCAAAAATAGGCATGGTTCAAACAAATTATCTTGGGTAGCAGATGCATACAAGTTAATGTTGTGGAATTAAAAAATGTAAAGTACACATGTTTGAGGGTAGTTTCATCAATTGTTCTTCTAGGTCTCAAAAGTATATATGATATATATATATATATATATATATATATATATATATATATATATATATATATATATATATATATATATATATATATATATATATATATATAGCTTAAGATTTTGGTTTACGAAACACAAACGGTGCTCAATACCATATAGATAGAGCGTAATATAGTTTTTCGTTTTACCTCAAAAACCACAAC